AAAAAAAAAAGAGGGAGAAAAAAAGAAAGGGAGGAAAAAACGGAGGAAAAGAAGGAAGAAGCAGGAGGGGAAATTTAAAAAACAAAAGCACATCGCAGGGCTGCTGCTTGGAGGCAGACTTACCTGAGAGCAGAGGCACTGGCAAGCCGCACGGACGAGAATTCATTTAACTTCTGGGAAACAAAAGCAAACAAACATGAAAAAAATCGCCTCCGAGTCCCCTGAAATCGCCTGCTCCCATGCACAGAGACTCCCAGCGCTGCGGCCAAGGGCTGGGCGGGCCACGGTTCGGGGGTCCCAACCGGGGACTCCCCCTCCGGGGCCAAAGGACGCCGGTCCCCGGGCTGGCGACAGCAAGAACAAGTTAAAGAGCCACCAAAGAGGAGCAAGGAGACCTCGGTGGCTCGTCTCCTTCTCGGTTCCCTACGCCAAAACAAATCTGCCCCTCCTGGTCTCGGTTTAAATGTAGCTCACTGGATAATTAACTCCATCTTTCCAGCCCTGCTTTAACTGTTTATTTAGTGTCACCCCGTATTACCATCACTAGCACTTTCCTCTGAACGGGAGGAGCTGGAGGGTTTCACCTCCCAAAAGGAAATTCTTCGTAGCTTAAAAGAATCAGCATCCAGGAGGTACATTAGCGAAGAGGGAAGGGGGGGGGAACGGCATCTGGGGGTCCCATGGCAAAAGCAGGAGGAAATAAGGGTGGAGGTGCGGGGACAGGGACAGAAAGACGTATCGGCCCTCGAAGAGAAGAAAACAACGCGTGATCACCTCTAATCCTTTGAAAAATGTCCCGGTAAGTGCGCGAAGAAAGAGCCCTTTGTGCCCTGGGGATCGGCCACATCGGGAAGGCCTTATCCTCATCCTTATCCTGCCCCAGCATCCCGGCCCGGGCCGGCCCTCCTCCGGCAGCCCCGGCCCGGCCTGACCCCGCTGGGTGCGGGGGGACCCCCTGGCCGGGCAGCCCCGGGGCGCGGGGCCCGGGCAGGGACGCGGAGCGGCCCCGCGGACACCGGCTTTGTTTTTACAGGTGTCGGGAGGGTAATTTACTAACAAGTAATTAAAGGTCGCACCGGTTTGCAGGCGAGCCGAGCCAGAGGCTCCTGCAAGAGAAGAACGGTGCATATGGAGAGGGGTTTGTTCTTCCTCATTAAAAAAATAGAATAATAAAGGAGGGAGGGGAGAGGGGGAGAAAGAAAATACAAATCCTTTATTGTTGGGGAATAAGCCGGGAAGCTGGCTGTCTCCCTGCGCCTCGCATTCGGCGAGGAAGGCGGCGCGGATCCGGTATCACGTTGCAGATCCTCACTCGAGATAACGAAATGCGATCTATTTTTCAGAACAGCAAGTGGATGGGAAAGGAGCCTCTACAACACAAACCTCATTGACTTAATGGGTCGGTTTTGGATTTCGCCTTCGAAATGTTCGGCGAGTGGCAGCGTTGTGTTTCTGCCCCGCCGGTTCCCAGCCTGCAGCCCGGTTCTCATCCCGACGAGAAGCGGCTCCCAAAAACCCGCTGCTGATTTTATTTTGTTGCGCTATTTGTTCCCTCTAGATTCTCGTACTTCTAGAGAAAAAAAAATTAAATTTTACTTTTGACTGGGGAAGAGCTTTATTTCTAAGCTTGGAAGGAAATGGGGGATGTATTCGGTTTAGGTTTTTTCTGCTTTGTTTTGATTTTTCTGGCGAAATCGAGAAAAAGCCCGCAGCGTGTTGCGTGGGCTCCATCTTCATCCCCGCTTTGCGTTGTATAAATACATCGAATAAATAAGGGAATAAATGAATTTCCTGCACAAACAGAGCCGATGGGTGCCCGGGCAATGGGGGCGAGCAGCGGAGGCCCCCTCGTTCGGCCGCACCTCTCCGCGGGCGCGGAGAGCCAGGCCCCGGCGGCGGGGACAGCCCGGGCAGCTCCGGCCGGGCGGGGAGCGGGGGATGCTGCCGGGTGATGCTGCCGGGCTGCTCCTGCTCCGCCGGCAAAGGAAGCACCGAGAGGGACCGGCGGCAGCAGCTCTGTGCCGTCGTCTTGTTCGGTGGCGTTTTGCTTATTTGCATCTTCCTTGTTTATGTTTTTATTTTTTGAGCGGCTCGAAACTCTCTTTTGTGTTGTTGCTTTTGTGATTTTTCAAGGGTTAAATGGGATGGGGTGTTCTGGAAGTACATTTGCCTCTTTCCGTGGTTCAAAATGAAAGGTTCCTAATTTTTAGGAAAACCAACCCCGAATCCTTAACGAACATTGATGCTCAGTGGTCCTTGCCTACAGCAACTCTCAGGTAGACCCTGGCGGGTCTGTCCCCTCCTCATGTGAATTTTGATGAGAGGGAAGAATAAAGTTCCGCTCAAGAATCGCGAGGAAGGCTCCGCTCAGCCCTCGCCCGTGTCTGTCATCTCTTCTGCCGGCCACATCGGGATAATTTGCTTATTCCCAGCAAGAACAGTGTTTGTTTTGGGCGGCCTTTTACAGGAGGGAAAAAAAGAAAAAGAGAACTAAAAAAAGGAGAACTGTGAGGGCAAGAGAAGCCCGCTCTCGTTACAATGCCCAGGGGTTTCCCCAGTCCCGCGTTGCGTTTCTCTCCTCCTCATCCAGAAGTCACAAACCCTCAGGTCCGTGCTTTTCCCGAGCTGAGCCCCTCATTAGAAAGAAGAAAATAAAATTTAAAATTAATAACAATAGAAATAAGGGATGGGGGAACCGACCCCCAGGCTGGGCAAGGCGCTGCTCCTCCAGGACGTGGCCGCGGGCGAGCCGATGCCTCATAATTCTGCGCACTTGCTCCAGACTTTAGGGTATTAGTTGATTTTAGAGCCGGGTTTAAGGCTCCGTTCCGGTCCCCACACAGCTGCCTTGTCAATAAGGATCTGTTCCAAGTAGACATTCCTTCTGGGAGGACATTGCAGCTCTTTAAGACTTCATCTGCAACATCATAAGTACTAAAATAAAATGGCAAGGGAAAATTACCAGACACATGGTCATGGGATATGGAAGCGCCCTGACTCCAGCGGACATAGTACAGTCGCTGTACAGACAGGGTGGCAGGGGCTTAATTTAAACAGCACCGAGACGCGAAGTACGTGGGAAAAACAACAATCCGGATTTAGGAAAATATCGGCCTTTCCCACGTCGTGCCGCGGGCAGAGGCTGCGGGCAGGGAGCGCCGCCGGCTCCGCGCCCCGCGGCCGGGAGCGGCTCCTCTTCACTTGGAGCAGTGAACTCAAATAAATCCGACTTGGTAGGTCAAATAAATCCGACTGCCTTAGTGAGGACAAACAGGTTTTAAAGAGCCCCACGATGGTTCTTAGCACCCGCGGAACGAACTCATTCCTGAATCCAAAGCGTTCTGGAGTGTGCTTAAAATATGGGCTTCGACTTATCTAATCAAAGATAAATACAGCCATAAAGACACTCCCAGCCCCCCGCGCCCTGCCCTTATCTCACCGCATTGTCCTCACCTCCCTGCTGACAATAGATTATCTTTGCTTAGGGAGCCTAATTGTTTTCTAATTTTTTAAATAATTGCTTTTGAGCGGGGGTGTGCAAATGAGGATTAGGCTAATTTAAAGCGCCGCCGGTGGGTGCAGCGCCGCTGCCCGCGATCCGCACGGAGCTGCCCCGACCCGCCGGGCTCCCCCCGCGGCGAACGGGGCAGAGCGAGGGGCAGGAAGGGGCGCACGGGCCCCGCGCGTTATTCAGCGCTTCACCAAAGCATTATTTATTCATCCCCAGCTCGGAGGTAATTAAATACGGGCTGCCTAGGCAGGGGACGGCGAGCGGGCGGGCGGGGGGCAGGAGTTTTGGGGCGGAAAAAAAGGAGATGGAAGAAAGAAAGACAAGAGCCCGCCGGCAGCGGCTTCCCCGGAGATGCGCCCGGGGGCGCGGGCGGCGGGGCTCCCCCCGCGGCCGCCGGGGCCGCACCCGCGCAGAGGCGGCGGCGGGACGCGCAGCCGCGGCCGGGGCCGTGTCCGGGGCCGTGTCCCCGCCGCCAGGCCCCGCCCGCCCGTGCCGAGGCTCTGCCCGCCGGGCCGGGCTGGGCTGGGCTGGGCTGTCCGGGCTGGGCCGGGCCGGGCCGGGGGTGCCCAATCAGCGCGGCGCGGGGGCTCGGGCGCTTTAAGCGCGGCGGCGGCGGAGCGGGGACAAAGTCCCCCCGGCGCCGCGACGAGCATCCCCGCTCGCCCGGCACACCGCCCTCGCCTGCCGCAGCGCCTCCCCGCTCTGGGGCCGGCACCGGCACCGGGATCGGGATCAGCACCGGGCCCGGGCCCGGCGGGCGCCTACCCCGCGCCCCTCCGCCGCCGCGCTCCCGCGGGGTGCCCGTCGCCTCCTCCTCGTCCTCCTCCTCCTTCTCCTCGTCCTCCTGCGGCCGCCGCCGCGCTCGGCCATGTCGATGCTGCCGTCGTTTGGCTTCACGCAGGAGCAGGTCGCCTGCGTCTGCGAGGTGCTGCAGCAAGGGGGGAACCTGGAGAGGCTGGGCCGGTTCCTCTGGTCGCTGCCGGCCTGCGACCACCTGCACAAGAACGAGAGCGTCCTCAAGGCCAAGGCGGTGGTGGCCTTCCACCGCGGCAACTTCCGCGAGCTCTACAAGATCCTGGAGAGCCACCAGTTCTCCCCCCACAACCACCCCAAGCTGCAGCAGCTCTGGCTCAAGGCGCACTACGTGGAAGCCGAGAAGCTGCGGGGCAGACCCTTGGGCGCCGTCGGCAAATACCGCGTCCGCCGAAAATTCCCTTTGCCCCGCACCATCTGGGACGGCGAGGAAACCAGCTACTGCTTCAAGGAGAAATCCCGGGGCGTGCTGCGGGAATGGTACGCCCACAACCCCTACCCGTCCCCCCGGGAGAAGCGGGAGTTGGCGGAAGCCACCGGTCTCACCACCACCCAGGTCAGCAACTGGTTCAAGAACAGAAGGCAACGGGACCGAGCGGCGGAGGCGAAGGAAAGGTACGTGCCACCCTCCGTTCTCCGCTTTTCTCCCTGCTCCACCGTGCTGGGGGCGTTTGGGAACCCGGGAGCTACTCCGGGAACGCGGCGAGTACCCGGAGCCGGATGGGATAGGAGCGACGAAAACACACGGTTCCCTTCAAATCCTTTTTTTTTTTTTTTTTTTTTCCCTCCTAAACCGCGTTGCGGTTCCCCCTTCCGTGGAAACCCAAATGGGTTTTTCACTCGACCTCACCTGCCCTGGGGGAGCAACGAGCTTCCACCGTCCTCTTCCAGGCCGCTCCGCCGCCTTTGTTTGCCGCCTGCCTCCCCGAGTAAACCGGGAGCGATGCGGACCCGGAGGCTCCGGGAAGCGGTCGGGATGCCGGGTCGCGTGTGGCCGCGGGTCGGGCAGGATAGCTCCGGAGCTCGGAGGAGAGAGATGCAGCTCCGGGATGGCGAGGTGGGGGGAAGCAGAGGGAGATCGGGATGAGGACGCGCCGGCCGGGCCGAGCCGCCGCCCCGTACCGAGGCCACCCCGGCAGGCGACGCGGTGGCCTCGGTGCGAGGCGGCCGCTCGGCCCGGCGAGGCAGAGAGCCACGGAGGGCATCTCCTTCAGCTGCCTCCCCACCGAGCCGCCTGGAGAAAACCCCGCACCCAGCTCGTCTGCGGGCCGTACTTTCATTTTTAATTAAAAAGAAAGGAAGACGGCCCCTCAAAAAAAAAAATCCCTTCCTCCAGTTTTCCCTCCTCACCTAAATTACCGGGCTGTTCAGTGTATTTATTTGTAGGAGGGATAAAAGGAATAGGGACGATCCGTTATGAATTTTTTTAGGATTATTTTTCCCCCCTTGAGAAGCATCTGCTCCCACGCTGGAACTAAAGGCGAAGGATTTACGGTGGGCATTAGCACAATGCCCATCCCCGCCGCCTCGTGCCCGCCCTAACATCCCCGTGGTGGGATTATATATACATTTTTTTTTTTTTTGCTTTTCCGCAGAGAGAACACGGAAAACAACAACGCGGCCACCAACAAACCGAACCAACTCTCGCCTCTGGATGGAAGCAAACCCCTCATGTCCAGCTCCGAGGAAGAGTTTTCTCCTCCCCAAAGCCCGGATCAGAACTCGGTCCTGCTCTTGCAGGGGAACCTCAGCCACGCCAGGAGCTCCGGCTATTCCCTGAGCGGCTTAGCCGCATCCCAGACCCCGCACAGCCTCCAAGGCCACCAGCTCCAGGACTCGCTGCTGGGACCCCTCACGTCCAGCCTGGTGGATCTGGGATCCTAAAGGCCCTCGGCGGGCCGCCGGAGGATCGGGAGAGGAGGAGGTTCTGCTCGGGGACAGAGGCTCTGGGTTGTACATAGAGGACAGCACCCGGTTTTACAGGTCACCCGCTGATTGTTAACGGGACTCTCGTCTCTTTTCACACAACCCCACATCGGCTCTTGCTCCAGTTCCCCCTCAGCGTCTCCCACTATCACCACGATTTTTTAATTATTTTTTTTTCCACGTAGCCAAACACAGAGAGCGGCAATAACCCTCATCAGCCCTTCGAGTTCAAACGAGTTGGTCCCAACGGGAATTAAACAAAAAAAAAAAAAAAAAAAAGAAAATGAAACCCCAACCCCTGCTGGATCCGATTCCATTCAAAAAAAAGGAAAAAAAAAAAAAAAAAGAAAATGAAACCCCAACCCCTGCTGGATCCGATTCCATTCAAACAAATCCCAGCGCCGTGGGCGCGGTGGGGCAGGGTCGGCCGGCACATCCCTGCTGCTGCCTGGCCCGGTCCCCGAGGATCTGGGAAAGGGACAGAGAGAGAGAATCACTGTACTGAGCCCTGTGGCAGAGTGGGAGGAGGGAAGGGAAGTTACGTTTACATTTTTCATACTTAGCCTTACCAAAAATTTCGATGTAGTTTAAACTTTAAAAAAAAAAAAAAAAAAAAAAAAAAAAAAATAAAAAAAAAAAAAAAAAAAAGAAAGAAAAAAAAAAGAGTGGGAAAAAATATATCAAAAGCTGCAGTATTAGAGTTTTACCAAGTGCCTGTGTCTGACCGCGGCCGTGCGAGGCAGATACTGAGTGGGCTCCCGTGGACCCGCGTCCCCCACTTTTCTCGTCTTTGGTGGTGAAATGCATCGATGTGGCTAAAAATTAGGATAATAATAGTAATAATAAAAGTCGACGGCCATTTCCTCCTAAACCGCCAGTTCCCCTTCGCCTTCTCCCGTCTGTGCCCGCTCGCCGCCTCCCTCCTCCGGCTTGCAGAGAGCCCGCGGATGACGCTGCCTGTCTCGAGTATTTGTTACCAAAAATCGCATGTGCTTTCGGGTTTATTTTCTATTGTACCTAAACAGTCTAAATTAAACAACGCTGATGGCAGAACACTCAGGCTGCGCTTTTCTTTGCAGGGGCGAACCCGTGCCCCTCTGCCCACCCTCTCCCCCTCCCCACGGGCTGCAGCGGAGGCTCGGGGCTGCGGGGAAGCCGGTGACCCAGTAAGGGAGCAGGGACGGGGACAGAGGACCCGTTTCGCCTGCTGTGCCCCGAGGGAAGCCGGACACTCGGCCGGGAGGGAGCACCGGGCTCCGCCGGCCGCCCCGTCGGGGCCTCGCCGGTGCCGGTCGTCTCTGTTAGCGTTTTGCATCATTAAGTGCGTGTTTATTTAAATCGCTGCCGTGTTTGTGCTCGGGGTCTTGGGCCATGGAGAAATGTCACCCTCTGCAGGAGGGTCTTGCCCGGCCGGAGCGCTGCGCGTCCCTCCCGCTCGATCCCCGGCGGGCCCCGGCGCCGCTGCAGAGCTCCTGGCGGATCCCCACCCGCGGCCGCACGGGGCAGCGGATCCGTGCCCCGGCCTCGCCCTGCTGGGCTCCGGCCGCGGGGGAGCCGGGCCCGGGGCTCTGCGGTGCTTTCCCTGCTCCCTCCGGACGGGCCCCGGCCGCCCCCTCGGGGGAGATCCCGCCGGGCTTCCCGCGCCCACGACGCTTTAGGGGAGCACGGCCGGGGCCCTGCGGGACCCCCCCGCCCGGCCGGGCACCGCGGGGCTCCGTGGGACCACGGGCGGAGGGCGCAAATCCCGCGCACGGACGCGCAAACCGCGCGGGGGGCGCGCAGCTGCTCGCGCTCCTCTGCAAGAAGAAGCCGGGGCAAGAGCCGGCGTTGTGGGGGCAGCATGGACCCCCCACTCTTGGTGTGCATCGACCCCGACCTCGGCTGCCCGGCTGGGGAAGGGGACCGGAGGCGAGTCCTACCCCCTAACCCGGCGGGACCGTAGGGGACAGGACGGGACGCTCCGTGCCCCCGCTCCGGGCTCGCCCTCTCGTCCCTTTCCGGGGACCTTCATCACCTTCCGGGGGTCTCATCCAGTTCCACCGGGATCCGTCACAAAGCAGCCGCTCCCGTCCCCTCGGGCAGAAAAGGGGAACCCCCGGGGAAATGCAGGATGTTTTTAGGGTCAGCTGCAGACTCTACGCCTCGAGGATGGATAAGCTCCAGCTTCGTTTTTTTCCCAAACCACAGGCTCAGTGAAGAGGAAGGATAAATATTGCCCGGGGCTCCATCCCTGCGCGGCTGGAAAGCCAAGCAAGGACTCCCAAACCAGGAGTTATTTTCAAAGCAAATAGCTCAAACATGCAGGATGCACTTCCTGCATGTAGGCACGGACAGGATTGGTTGGCGAAGGCTGGGGGAGATGCCATGGGATGCTCCCCTTGCCCAAATTCCCCTTTCCAGCACACACCTGCAGACCGGGGGTAGCCTCAGGTGCCCGGCCTCAGAGCCCTACCCAACCCCCTGCTCTCCATTTTCCCAAAAGGGACAGGGACGAGGTTGGCAACAAGGAGGGATGGAGGGTGCTGAGGGCATCCCCCTGGAAATAACTCCCTGGCCAGCTGTCAGGTAGGAGCAGGGAGGCGCTGGAGCTGAGCCAGGCACAGGTTGTTGAGCTCTCCTCGATTAGGCTTGACCTCGCAGCAAGCTTTTCACAGCAGAGCCAGCCTGGGGAGGCAGCCTGAGGCTCTTTCTCGCTAAGCTCTGCTTCGTATTTCCACTGGCAGGAAGGAGTTAATTCGCCCCCCCACTCCTGTTCACCCCCCAGGACAGATTTCACACTGTGTCCAGGTCAGCCAAAAAAGGGGAGGAAACGAGAACAGCAGAATGATTAATTCTACCTGCTTTTCCCATGAGTGATCACCTGCTTTTGGGGTCATGAATAGCAGGTAGCTCTCTCCATCTCCAGCTCTGAGAGCCTCATTTGTTTGGTGACAGCTGAGTGACAAGACCTGAAATCCGAGCCCTCAACTTTGCCTGATGTGTGGATAAAACCCTGGATGTTCCCTCAAACATTTCAGGAAATGAAAGTTGTAACGCGATCCCTTGTGCGCCCACATCTCCCTCAGCAACACACAAAAGCTCAAAGGAACCTTCTCGGATTAAATTCAGCCTGGAGAGGATGGAAGGAAAATGGAGAGCAGGCTGAGAAAGCTGGAACTGGCAGGCTTTTCTTCAGCACTTATTGGAAATGTCTGTCCAAAGCGGGGATTTAGAAAGGTCACCTCTACCGTAAGCGTTTCTTCCTCTGTTGGAGTCAGATGGGCAGCCCGCTGCTCCCCAGCCCATCTCCACCTTTGGGACAGCCTGGGGAGGGCTGTGGGGTGCACTTAGATTCCCCAAGCAGGAAATTCAGTGTATAAAAGCAAATACCCAAGGAGAAAGCCAGCCCCCTGCTCTCTCTTAGTTTAATTTCCTGGGTCATGCTGAGCCAGTGCTGTCCTGTCTCTGCTGCCAGCTCCTGCCCACTCCCCTTCCCCACCAGCCCCCTCGAGGGCCAGGTAGAGTCCCATTCTCTGCCCCCACAGTCCTGGGCTACGTGCTGGCAAATCCTCCACAGGAGCTGCTGCTGAGGAGTGGATGCTCACTCAGCCCGTGGATTTAAGCCCAACATTTCCAGGCCTGGCTCCCTAAACCTTACACATCCCCAGCTGCAATTGCAGGAGCCCAGGGCCAAGATGTGGTACATTGGTGCTCTGTGTCTTTGCAAGCCAGGCCTGAACAGCCAGAAAGTTGGAGTTTCATTTTAAGCACACTGGTTTGGGAATGTCAGCAACTGGAATGAGTCCAGGTGTGCGGTACTGTCAGGATTAGGCCAAGGCATCCCAACCCCCTCTCTTCTGGGTAGGTGGTTTTATGGAGCTGCCTGTCACTGGGCAGCCAGTGGCTGCTTCTGTTGTTATCCAGCCTGAAGATAAAGTACTATTTAACAATTGTTTAACTATTCCTGAAGTGCTTCAGGATCCGCAGGCTCTGTAAAAGAGTCAGCACGCGCCCCGAGATAACTCTTCACCTCTGAGCTTCTCCCTTGCTCCTGCTTTTCTCCAGACTGCAGCTCAGGAATGCTGCACAGGTGGGAAATCTCTCTGTCTGCCCACCCAATGTGCTTTGCTGTCAGGAATTTTGCACCCAAGGAAGAGCTTGCTGCAGGGTGACGCTGCTGGTGACACTTTGTCCAACCTGCCCCGTGCCACGAGCAGCAGCAGAACACAGAGTTTGCACATCCTGGCTGTGGCAATCCGTGTCCAGAGATGGATTTTGCTGTTCCTGGCAGGTTTTCTGAGGGCACCAGGTGCAGTGTGGGGAGGGCAGAGGTGGCAGAGGCTGGATCTGCAGGAGCTTGGGGGCAGTGTACAGAGGAACCTGAGACGCTGTCATCTTTCCCAGCTGCATGTGGACACAGTTTTAAATATGGAAATGAAGGAAAATTTGCTTTAATCTTCAGGCACAGAGAGCAAATTACCAGAGATTTTTAGTGCTCACCCCAAGTGCAGCCTCATGCTGCCTGGAAGGAGGGCACCAGGCTGAACCCCCTTCCCATGCCACCCTGTCTTTCCTTCCAGCTGGACTTCCCACCAAGTGCAGGAACATTCCCTCTCTCCCTGTGGTTTATAGCGTTCATCCACATCTCCTCAAGTTGTAAACAGAGGTTGAACTTTCTCTGAAGCATATAATCCCAATCCTAATAATGAGGTTAAAGAGGCAGATTTAGTTCAATTACGGTTTCCTGTTTTCTTTTGTCCAGTGCTTTTGGAAAATACCTCTGTGGGCAGAGCGACTCCTGCTCATCCCTGCCTCAGCTTCTCACCCACAGCTCAGCTCTGCAGGGATAGAGATGCTCTGCTATCTGCTCAGGCTCAGATGAATTTCAGCTGTGGTGGAGAAGGTATGGGAAACCCTCGTGCCTGCATCTCAGGATGGAAGAAAAGGGAAAAAATTCTTCTTTTCCTGACTTCAGGATGGAAAAGCTTTTAGGATAATAGCAGGAGGGTGGATCAGCCCTGATTTACAGGAGGGGAAACAGACCTGGGGAGATGACAGACCTGCTGAAGGTCAGAGCAAGGGCAGGTGATGGGTGGGGAGGGCAGCTGGTGCTCTGCACTCCCACACTGCCTCCCTTTATAGCCCCCATAATAAGTCACCCCACCTTATCATTATGTAACACAATATTCCTAATATGAGACAAAACCAATTGACTAAAAAACAATGCCAGATGAGGCTTGTGGCTAACACTCCCTGAAGAAATTGTCTC